ACTTCCTCTGCTTTTACCCTTTCTTCCTTACCCTCCTCCTCCTTCCTCCCTTCTTCCCCTCTTTCCTCCCCTCTTCCTCTCTTCTCCTCCCTCTTACCCTCTCTCCTACTCTTAATTTCCCTCCCTTACTTCCTCTGCTTTTACCCTTTCTTCCTTACCCTCCTCCTCCTTCCTCCCTTCTTCTTCCCCTCTCTTTCCTCCCCTCTTCCTCTCTTCTCCTCCCTCTTACCCTCTCTCCTACTCTTAATTTCCCTCCCTTACTTCCTCTGCTTTTACCCTTTCTTCCTTACCCTCCTCCTCCTTCCTCCCTTCTTCTTCCCCTCTCTTTCCTCCCCTCTTCCTCTCTTCTCCTCCCTCTTACCCTCTCTCCTACTCTTGATTCCCTTCCTTTACTCCCTCTGCTTTACCCTTTCTTCCTTTTCCTCCTCATCTTTCCTCCTTTCTGTTGTTGCCTTTGCTTATTTACTTTCTCTGATGGGTTCTCGGAGTGGCATTTCTGGAAACCCAACTTTATATTTTTATAAATATCATTTTCTCTGTTACATTTTATTTCTAATAATAATTCCACTTGTGTCATTTTTTAAATTATTATCTTGCATTGCATTTTTTTTTTGCTCTTTTCCTTTTGCATGGTTTATGGTACTTTTAGCAAGCAGGTTTTTATTGTGTGAATGGGGCCAATTCGGACTCCTGAGCTTGGCTCTTGATGACAGGTCTGGTTGTGGATTTAGATATAGTTAGAAGTACCTGGCAGCGGCGTGGAAAACATAGCCGGGCGCACGCCCCTCACAATTACAGCCCGGAGCAGGACCTAAGCCCCTTCCTCCCTTACAGGAACACTTTCTCTCCATTATGAAGTCTCTGAGGCTAATTGTACGGGGTGTGCACATGTGTCTATGTTTCTTGCGCTGGTGTCAGCGACCCCTGTCAAATGGTCGTTCGACCCCAAAAGGGGTTGCAACCCACAGGTTGAGAACTGCTGACTTAAAAGATAAATGAAAAAGAAGCAAGTCTGTAAGTTTGTAGATATTCACCATGGGGTAATCATAGGCTCCTTACATAGATTTCAGTTCTAAAAGGTTCACAGATCATAGAACAATGTGTTTGGAAGCGACCTTGGAGATCTTCTAATCCTGTGATGGTGAACTTACAGCACCTGTGCCACAGGTGGCATGTGGAGCCATTTGTTAGGGCATGTGAGGCCTTGCCCTGTCAGCTCCAGTGAGCATGTGTGCTCTGGACAGCTGACTTCAGCCTTCTTTTTTGGCCATTTTTCCCTGAAGCCTCCGGAGGGCGAAAAACAACCCAATACGCAAACCAGAAGTTCGGGAATGGACTTCTGGTTTGCCCATAGGGCTGCTTTTCACCCTCTGGAGCCTTCAGGAGGCTTCCCTCAAGGCTCCAGAGGGTGAAAAACAGCCCTATGGGCAATCCAGAAGTGACTTCAAGTTTGCCTGTAGGTAAGGTGACCAGACATCCCGATTATGGCGGGACAGTCACAATTTATAACAATTTGTCCTATGTTCCGGGGTGGTTTTAAAAAGTCCTGATTTTCTGGCTTCATGTTGAAAGCCCAGTGGATTTGCTTAAGAAGACAAAAGACACTCCGTCCTAACCTCTCTCTCTGTCTCAGTACCTTCATTGAAGATATAATTAAAACATTAAAGCAAGAAAACGGACCCCCCGGCGCCCCTTTTACCTCATTTTATAAGAAAAAATGACCAAGTACCATAGAGCTCCAGGAAATACTTGGCTAGAGAAGCCGCGAGTGTTCCTTCCTGGATTTTCCAGAGAGGAGGGGCACAGAGGTTGGAGGTCGGCTCATGTGGAAAAAATGGTGGCATTTTTTCTTATAAAATGAGGTAAAAGGGGAGCGGGGGGGTCCGTTTTCTTGCTTTAATGTTTTAATATC